AGAGCGCCCCTGCATGGTTATCTCTCCGTGTAGAGCGCCCGGGGGGACCGTAAGCCCAACTTCCCAGTGGCCGTCCCTACCTCTTTTTCTGACGGGCAGGAAGGCAAAGCCTTTGTTGGACGGCGGTGGGTCATGAGGTGTTTTGTTCAGCAAGAGTCTGAGCCGTTGCCTCTTGCTGGTGAGCGAGGGATCAGGGGGTTTCAGGGGGGGAGATTCCTTTTCCTTGTGCGAGACAGTGGGTGTCCACGCTGCCAGCACCATGCATAACCCTGCCGCAGCATTTCCTCCCATCTCCGTGGCCCCGTCTTCCTCGCCGGCTTCTCCACCAGGACTGCCCCCCCCGGTCCGGATCTCCCCCCACGTTTTGCAGTCCTTTTTCCTTGCCTTCCCTATTTATAGACTCCAGTGGTTTGAGTGGTGTGGCGTCTTCCCCCTCGTGCTCTGGTGACCCGTTCTCTTCTCCCCTCTGGCCCGGTTCAGTTTGACTAGCGTTGCCCCCCTCCTGCTCTGAAGGGCAGGCTGCATCAGGTGTTCTATCTGTCAACTCTCGACCTCCCTTTGCTTCGGACTGCTCCCCCGGTACCTACACCAGCCCCACCATTACTTCCTCGTGCGTTTTTTCATTTTCCAGGGGGTTTTCCATTTTTCATTTTTCGTCACAAGCCTTGTTTTCGCGTTCCTCCCCTGATCCCACAGGAGGACAAGGGGGAGGCTGGAAGCGACCGAGGACAATGCTGAGGAGTTTGCTGCAAATATTGTGCGTCGGTGAGTATCTCTATTTCCATCGGTGCCAGGTCAAAAGCCTCCTCGAATACATCCTGTTCCATTGCAGCTTTTTCCCGCGCTTAGGTTCACCCTGCTTTTTGCCTTGGGTTGCCTGGTCGACTTTCTGTGTGACGCCCCCATCATCGCCGTCTTCTTTTGGACTCTGTTCTTTCCCCGTGCCACCTTCCGTTGCTTTTTTGCTGAGCCAATGCCCCGTGGGCAGGAATTCCTTCGCTATCGGACCCCAGTCCTTCCCCTGCATCTGCATCAGTTGACTGTTGGTTCGATTCTCTTTCTCTTGGGGGGGGGGGCTGTTTGATTTCAAGCTTCTCTTTTCCTTGCTCTTTGATAGCAGGGGAGGGTTTTCTGGGGTCTTTTGGGAGAGGGAGACTCGTGTTTTGTTGGGATGAGCCTGATCTGAGATTCCGTTTGGCCGGGTGCTGCGTGCAGGCCGTCTCTGTGCTCAAGTGCCCGTATGCTTTGCATTTAAAGCACCGGGGCCTAAACTTGTGAGCGGTGTGGACGTGATAGACCTTACCACCCATTCTAAACGGGACGATGTCGTCAATGGAGAAAAGTCGATCTTTCGGCAGGTCCAGGGCTAACATTAAGTAATCGTCCCTTTTTGCAGCATAAGAGGGGAGAGGGTCTATGAAATCCACAATATTATATTGTTGCCCAAAGTCACAGATGAAGGCTGCCTGTACCTCCACCAGGATATGTCTCAGTTCCACCCAGAAGTGGTCCCGCATTAACTGTTCCCTTTTTTCTTCCGGGCTCAGCTTCTTTGGCTGCCAGGGGTAAATACGCACATCTGAGCCCTCCCATTTTACTTTTTTCCATCCATCCATTATGTTCTTGTCTTGGGTGAAAAGGCTAGTAAGCATAGTGAATACAGTGGACGAGAGGGGCTGGATTAGAAAAAACTTCCGAGCTCCTTCTGCGCTGCCTTTCAGTTCTTCCAGCTTGCGGCAGATCCATCTTGTTTTGTCGTTGATTGATCTTTGTGCTGCCTCACCGTAAAATATCCAGTTACTCGCGTGTTTGGTATATGCATTATCCCTCTTTTCCAGTTTGTCCGTCGGGTACGTTTTCATTATTATCTTTCTTCCTCCCTGGTCGACGACCTCGTTTTCTGACGGGAGGAGGAAGAGGGTGAGGAAATAAGCTTTAGCAGAGGAGAGGTTGCGCAGGGGGACGTTTAGCTTGTCGGGTTCCCCTTCCTGTTCCCCCAGAGGTTGGGGTGTAATTTCAAGAGTTTTCTCCTGCATCGTGTTCCTCACCCTCTGTGCCCACGAGGGTTTCCCGTCGCCGGGCTTGGTTTGGGGGGCCCCTTGTTCCTTCCTCTCGGCGAGCCTCTCTTCCTCTGTCAGGACTCCTTCATCCTCTTCCTTCTCCTCCATGTCCACCTCTTCGACGCTGTCCTTTTCTTCCTCGACCGCCCCCATGTTCTGATCGCTCATGTTCTGATCACTCATGTTCTGATCGCTGTCCGGGTGTACCCCTCCCTACACCGAACTTCCTTTTTTAGGGGATTCCGCCTCTTGGATGTTCCCGTTTTGGGCTGGTGCCGACCCGGTGCGGATTGTGGTTAGTGATTCAGACAAAGCCGGCCACTGCTGCTGGTCCAATTGTATCCCTCCCCCTGTAACGATTGATTGAGATGACGCCGGGGGTGGCGACCCGGTGTGGACTGTGGCTGGCCACTTCTGTTGCATCCCTCCCCCTATTACAATTGGTTGAGATGACGCCGGGGGGGGAGGCCTCCTGTTGGACACACATTGGGGTCTCCCGTAGGGGGTCATCATCGATTGCCTGCCTAGGCTATGCCTCATGGCCCCATGATAGAGTAGGAGGGGTTTCTGCCCCCTTGCCTTTGGGATCGCTGCTTCCATCTGTGTCTTGTGTACTCTTGATTTTGTTATTATGTCTTGGTTTTAATATTGGATATTTGTTATTATATTTTTTTTTGATTTGTTTTTTTTTTGAATTGTGTTGATGTTATGCAGCCTCACGTGGTTTGTTTCTTCGTGGTTTTTTTCTTAGTATGATTGTTTCCTCATTCAGCTCCTTGGCGTGGCCGGTCGGGGCGGGAAGGAACAGGGCGGGAGGGAGGAGGGAAGACGGGCAGCTTATACCGATGGGGATGGCCCTCCGATTTGCTGGAGGATGTCCTCCTCACGCCGCCGTTGCACGTATCCAAAACTCGCTCCCCTGTCGCGTGTTGATCTGTCGCGTGTGAATCTGCCTTCCTGTGTTTGCTCTCCACTCCGATTGCTTACTGTTACCCCTTACCTTCTTACCCAGCCCCGTGCGCCGACACGTGCTTTGACATACGCCACCTCCTTCGATACCCCTCCACCTCCAGTCGTATCGCTTCCCGTGTGTTTTCTCACCGATCCGATCACTTGCCGTTACTCTTACCCAGTCACGTGCATCGACACCCTTCCTCTCTCACCACGCCACGTGTCGTCCTGTCTTGTTCTTTGGCGACCTCCATCGATACCCCTCCACCCCAGTCGTATCGCTCCCGTGTGTTTTCTCACCGATCCGATCGCTTGCCGTTACTCTTACCCAGTTCCGTGCATCGACACCCTTCCTCTCTCTCCACGCCACGTGTCATCCTGTCTTCTTCTCTTGGCGATGGCTATTCTCGTTCTTGGTGACGTCCCCGATGCGCCCTTCTCTCATTCCCTAAATCACATGCCCCCTTCTCTCTCTCCACTCCGCCAATCCTATCCCCGCAGTCCCTCCTTTACCCCCACGCCTGCTTGCTCGTTGCCACGTATCCGAAACTCGTTTTCTTGTCGCGCGTCTTGCCTACATCTCCCTCCACGTCGACTCGTCCAGCACTAGGTGATGGCTGGCCTTCTCGTCTGTCACCACGTGACATACACGTGGTCCTCACCCGAGTCTCATGTGGAACCCCTCAGCAGGTTCGGGGGTCGGGCAAACAGCCACGTCAGCCCGCGTTGCCACTCGTTGTCTTGTCGCACGTCGTCCTGTCGTCTTCTTCAATGATGGCTAATTTCGGTCCCGGCGACTATCGCTGCACGTCGGTCTTGCCCACAGCTCCCTCCACATCGACTTGTCCAGCACCAGGTGATGGCTGGCCCCAAGTTTGAATCCACTCCAGAATCCATTCCTCCGGAACACCTTCAAACAAGAAGAACAAAACGAACCTAAAAAAAAAAAAAAATCAACCCAAGGAACGCCAACCCAGCATTCTCTTTTTTATTTTGAAAGGGCGATGGCCTTGAGGTATTATCATCTGACTAACCAGCCCAGGTAAATTCAGTATTGTGTCTAATCTGACATCGGGTGGCCTTTTCAGCCCAGTCTCTGACTCTCTGCTGCTGTTCATAGGGGGAGGGGTAATCGGGGAGGCACAACCAACCCAGCATTGAATTGTCAATGATACTAAAAAAAAAAAAAAAAAAAGATTGAAACTCATCCTCGACCAATGTATGTCAAGAAAGACAAGACCGTCCTCCTTTCAAAAAAAACAAAAAAAAAGAAAAAAAACACAAGGCCGTCGACCCTTTG